AAGGTGCCTTACTAGTAGTAACAAGAAGCCATTAGGAACAAGTGCATTGCTACTAGGAGTAAGGTGCCTTACTACTAGGAACAAGAAGCTGCTACTAGTCCAAGGTCGCTCCAAAACATCAGATCTCCGCACCTCGTCCACCGGGGAAGGGGGCCTTCAGCGGCGGCGAAGGTGGTAAGAGCGGCTCGGGCACCGGGGGTCCCAGCGGCAAAATCTCCTGAAAGATGCTGCGACGAGACATGGACGGACTGGTACAGGTCAACCCCTCCAGCCGACTGAGTCAAAATGCCTCTATTGTTTGACAAAACACATGGTGCCTTCCTGATACCTATCCCTCAGAACTTCTGCAGTTTATTCAGAACGCGGGGGTCGCTCCTCCGCTTCCTTGGGCGGCTCGTAGTCTGCAGGTCTTAACCAGGGTGCAAACTCCCACAAGGCAATCCTGAGTCAACACGATTCGCAACTCATTGCAAGTGAAGTCTGTTCACATCCATCAACTCAAGCGACTCACGCAACTACTTATGTGTAGCGCAAGGTTAGTTGACTTCGGTTCAACGATTTGTCACCACTCGCTAGTAGGTTGGAGGCCATTAGCTGTTCGTTTCAACGGTTTTTCACCACACTCGGTCCCAAAATGTCTCAAGCATCTGCGCTTGGACCGGTAAGCCAAGCTGCTGCTCCGGTGTATACTTGGTGGTGGTCAGGGTGGTCCCGTTGCTATCAGGATATGTGACATTGAAGGGAAATTGGCCTTGGCATCTCGTCAACGGCGCACTACTTGTTACTAGTAGTAATGCCCTTGTTACTAGTAGCTTCTTGTTACTAGTAGTAAGGCACTTGTTACTAGTAGCGATGCACTTGTTCCTAGTAGCTTCTTGTTAACAGCAAAACTTAACACTCGATTCCTAATTGATGCTTTCCGACATGGTGCGGTTTTCCCACACTCAAGAACCCTCACGATCCACATTTGTTTGCGCTTTTTGATCGAATTCTGCTTGGGTGCAATTTTCATCGCATCGGATCCAAAGCTCCTGGCTAAGTGGTGAGGATTTCAGTGCATTGGTGCAACATCGCTTCTAGGTGGGAGGCCATCGCTAGTAGGTAGATCTAATTTCTATTGTATTAATGATCTATTCAATTCTCCCTTGAGGGTGAGGTAATTGGCAGCCTTCAGCCCTATTATACAGGAGAAATGTGTGGCTGCTAGGCTAGGCTTCCCTTCAGGGCTTCCCTTCAGGAATGGACCTCACTCACTTCAAACAGCAACGCTTTTGGCTCACCACAACAGGTCATTCCAACACAGCAACTGCTCTGAGCACCGCTCTACGCTCCTCCGTCCATGGTTGTCCGTCATCAGAGAGGATGGCCAGCTCTTGAAGGTAGCCCGTCTCGGATGACCAGGTCCCGACTTCGGCACCTCATGGATGAGGTGTCGGAAAAGCGGTATGAAGTCTCCAGGGCATCAGCACTGCTCTGTGCTTGCAAACATACAGCCATGTTTGAACTAATACCATGATACTCCATAGACTAGTAGCAAGGATGCTATTATATAGGTGGCGGCCATCGCAAGTAGGTTGGAGGCCATCGCTACTAGTAACAAGAAGCTACTAGTAGCAAGGGCGTGCCCAAAACCCCTTGGAGTTTTGGACTCCTGGCTACAAGAATCGCGTTCTGAAGTAAGAACAGTCACATCTCAATCCCTGTCGCCTACATCCTAAAATTAAAAGAAGAGGAATGAAACATAATAATAATAATAAACTTCACCATAGATTATGAATTATTAATGCTATAACTTATTAATGCTGTAAGAACTTAATTGACAAGTTGTCCAAAATATTATAACATGGTGAATAAAATGACTACAACACCAATAAATAAATATAAAGAATGCAAAGTAAACACTGGCCTGACCCTGTGTGACTCAAGGCAAGATGCTTCTAGAAACAAGTGCCTCACTACTAGTAACAAGTGCCTTACTACTACTAACAAGAAGCTAGTAGAAACAATACTAAAGATTCTCTTCTTGTGCCTAGTAGCTTCTTGTTACTACTAGTAAGGCACTTGTTACTACTAGCTTCTTGCTTCTACTAGTAAGGCACTTGTTACTACTAGTAAGGCACTTGTTACTAATAGCTTCTTGCTTCTACTAGTAAGGCACTTGTTACTACTAGTAAGGCACTTGTTTCTAATAGCTTCTTGCTTCTACTAGTAACTAGTAAGGCACTTGTTACTACTAGTAAGGCACTTGTTTCTAATAGCTTCTTGTTACTACAGCAGTCACATCTCGGCCTGACCCTGTGCGACTCAAGGCAAGATGCTTCCTTCACCAATGCAGTCGGCTGCACAGCAAAGCCCTGAATTGAGTTCTTTCCGTGTGCAGAGCCTGACCAGGTCAGTCTCTTCTCAAGAAGGTGGATCAACCTCATCACTTTTTGCCACCTAGTAGCTTCTTGCTACTAGTAGTAATGGCCTCCAACCTAATAGCGATGGCCTCCAACTATAGTAGCTTCTTGTTACTAGTAGTAAGGCCAGGAGCCCCTAGTAGCGTCCTTGCTCCTAGTAGCGATGCCCTTTGTTCCTAGTAGCTTCTTGTTACTACTAGTAAGGCACTTGTTACTAGAAGCCTCATGCCAGTCAGCTGACAGGTCATCTCCGCATCCTTGTGGCTTTGAGGCTGTAAACCTGAGCCAAAAACACTCTTGGGCCATTTGGCTGGCGGTATGCTTCGACAAGGATCTGATGACCCACTGTGCGTGGTGTTTGGCCCAGGCACATGTTCCAAACAATGGATCGGGCGTTGTGGTCTCCAGCTGCACCTCAATATGAACGCTACTACACTCTGCTACACTCTATGACTCTATCCCTGTGTTTGCACGCAAAGGCATCCAAATGCAGGAACAATCTTCATTTTGGTGATCCCAAGAATTGAGCCCTCCAAAGACTTTCAGGCAGACTGACGTCAAATTGCGAGTCTGAGCTGAGACACCCATGGACCCCAACCAGTCCAATACGAAGGCTGAGTGGTTGTGACCTGCACGGAGAAGCAAACAACAAACACTCAAGATACAAGTACGTACGATGGACTGGGGAAAATGTTCAACAACCTGGGGAAAACACTGAATGAGTGGAATCCATGGCTGCATAACAAAACATTTAGTGCCTAGTGACTAGTGCCATTAAACAAGAAGCAGCTTTGCATGCGCTTTAATTACCTGGAAATCATTCGTCAAGGTTGCAGCCAGCTTCTTATAAACCAAAAGCAAATTGATCATGTCACATGTCTGACTCGCGAAGAGAAGTGGAAGAATCAATGACGCCGCAAGAAGTAGTCGCCTGGCCGTAGCGAGGCCCTTCACAACTGGAGCCATCCATAGCACAGCAAAAAGTGAGGCGATCCTCACCTCAGTACCCAATTTGCTTCATGCGTTGCGGCAAACCTGAGCAGTTTCACAATAGCATTGGCCTCCACCTCAATAGTGACGGCCTCCCACCTAGCGATGGCCTCCAACCTGCTGTGTAACTGAGGCTAGGGCTCTCCTCCGCCATGTGCCCTTTGATCTGACGACCCTCCTCAGTCACCACTCGGGCTTGGCTTGGCTTGGGGCTTTTGGATCCACGGACGACGAGTTCGCTGAACCAAAGAGGTGACACGGTGACCAGAATTCCAACAAGATGCAGCTTGGCAGGAATCTTCAACCCAGTAGTAACCGGTCTTCGCGGAAGCATTCAAGTTGACCTCAGCTGGCCAGGGTTCTCAACTGGAAAACGCAGTGTAACGTATTGGACATAATATTGTTCCTCAAACAGAACACTTCATTCCTGTTTTATGCGCCACCAGTCTAAGGTTCCTAAGGAGGAAACAAGCCAGGGGACGGTAAAGCTCCGCCCGGTGCCTTCGGCATGACATGCAGCGACCTCCAAGGAGTTTCCATCGTGCTGCACCAGCTTCACACCTCGAAGGTCACTGGAATTTATTCATTGCTCTTAGGTTGGAAGCCACCGCCACTAGGTTGGAGGCCATCGCTCTTAGGTTAGAGGCCATCGCTGGTAGGTTACTTGTTTGATTTCATTTGGACCTCACAGCACTTCTGAGATGGCAACGACTTCATTGAGTAGAAGAATATATTAATTAGAAGGGAATAAAACGACAATAAAGTTGGCGGACGACTGAATTTCAATCTTAACTACTTTTTGTAAGTCCTATAGAACCAAAGATGATTGCTCTGGCTGGTGCGTGAGGGGGTACTGTCAAGCTGATCCCTCGGCCTGATGCTGGGTTGGCACCGATGAAGATCTCAAATTCGACGCAGCTCACATTGCTCTGGACCTCTTCCTCAGCTGAAAGCAGACATTTAAGTGCTGCTGTAAGGGAGTCTCAAAGGGGTCTCCAACCTTCTTGGAAGAAACAAAAAGAAGTCCAAACAAACACATGGAGAACTTGATTGCTGGTTGCGGTGGTCTTGGCAAGTTTGTTCTGTCACATATTATCAATTTTCCTTTTCTTGGATTCCTCCTGGATGCTACGAGTACAGAAAGATCCCTACCCAAAAAGTATGGGGAAACTCTTTGAACCCTTTGTGAGACAGCAACAAGGCAAAGGGACCTCTCGCAAAAGCCGTGAAACAACGGGCCTCAAGCCATGGTTGAAGCCCTAAAGACTAGAGTTTTGAAACTGTGAACATGATGTTTTCCGCATCCAACCACTCTTCCAACGTAGAGCAAATAAAAGTCTCGCTTTAAGAGGCTCCTCTCCGAATGCAAGCTGGGCCAAGCTAAAGCCAAGCTTCAAGCTCACAAATAATGTTTGTGGCGTTGGCGCTCTTCACTTCACATGGGTCCTCTCCAACAGTGACCTAAGATTTCGGATTCTCGACACATCGCGTCAGACGAGGAACCAATAACCACAAACCGTCTCTGCCGAGCAGCGATATTCTTTGTCAAATCAGTGTCAAAGGTAGATCCTCTGATGTGTACAGGAGCACCATTGAGGATGCCAGAACGGCCTCAATCCGTCAGTGCAAATCTTAAGCATGTGGGCGTCATTGCGCATGCTGCATGACATCAAAGCAAATATTTGCAAGTAGGCTGGAGGCCATCGCTAGTAGGTTGGAGGCCATTCCTATTATATCCTATTTCGTTTATGTTTTTCTGTATTACTTTTTTGCTACTTCTGTGCTTCCCAAGTTCGTGCATGTTCACTCTTTGGTCATCTGACAAAGGTGTTCCTTGCCTGGACGGATACCCAGGATGTCAGGATAAATTGCAAGATCCTCAGTGACACAACAGCCGTCGGGCCGTGCATTAAAATTCAAATTAATAGCAACCATTGTTACTAGTAGTAAGGCACTTGTTACTACTAGCGTGGCACTTGTTTCTAATAGCTTCGACTTTCCAAGGCTCATACGCTTGAAAGTTCGGTTGCAGGAAGGCCGATGCTTTCTGGGCAGTTCCTTGCCAGGTCCGAAAGACGGCGTTCCCATAGCCCTCCGACGTGCTGTAATCGATACCTTGGAGCGGCTGGGACGTGAATGGCCAGGACAAAACAAAGACGTTGGGGTTGTCGACAGCTGGCGCCTCCAACCTACTTGCGATGGCCTCCTTCCACAAGTTGAACGCATGTTTAAAACGGTTCAGCAATCATGCAGCATCAAGAAGCCAACGGACTCCAATTTGACCCCACCCAGCATGCACAATCCGTTCTCCTGCTGAATACATCCTTTGGATTCAGTGTGCCAACGGCCAAATTTCGCTATTGGTAACAATTGCATTACTACTAGTATAGGAGCAAGAAGCTACTAGTAGCGATGCACCTCGCTACTAGTAGCAAGGACGCTACTAGGGTCTCCAGGCCTTACTACTAGGAGCATTCTTGCTACTAGGAGCAAAGGGCATCGCTACTAGTAGCAAGGACACTACGAACGTAGCTAAGTGCCTTGGAGCATCTCTGAGCCCCACAACCGCACAAACCACTTTGACCAAGCAACATGGGTAGTGGGCACATCGGGGATCGTCGTATCCAACCGCTAGTGAACGGATCTGCAGAGTTGCCAGGCTTGGACCAGCCAAGTCCAAAGCACAGTTCAAGGTTCTACTCCTGGAACGCAAGTCAGGAAGAAGAAACCTTCTTTGTAAAAAGATACATTAAACATGTAATACGTACTGAAACGATTCAGTTTAATAGTTTACTTGTGTTCAACTTGAGGGTTCAAGCCTCAAGAAAACTGGACTCACGACACATAGTGTGCTTACATGTGGTTCCCTGACACTCACCTCCCAAGAGCCAAATTGGACTGATGATTTGCTGCTTTGACCAGAAATAAAGCACAACTAACCAACACACAAATAGCAATGGCCTCCAAAAACAAAGAGAGTAAAGAACAAAACAAGAAACATATGCAAACAAGTAATTATATAATAGGATATAATAGGAATGGCTACTAGCGAGTGCCTCCAACCGGACAAACCAAACAAAAAGCGGTGTCTCATCCTGCAGCTTAGTGCGGTTGAGTGTCTGTACAAGCTCATCTGAATTCTCTACTTGACGTGCACTTGCATCACAAATATATCCACCAATCTCCACCACAGCGCCTCAGATCACCCAACCTTTGTCACGAACATGCCTAGAAGATCCAACAAGTCACTAAGTCTTAGTCTTATCACTGCCATTCAGACTTCGATCCGCTTCGACCTTCCAAAAACCGAACAAAACACCATCGGCGAGCGCTCCGAATCCGCTCCGCATCCGCTCCCTCGGCGCTCGGCTCGTTCCGCTCGTTCCGCTCGTCCCAGCGGCGATCCACGGCGGTCACGCCCGGTCCCAGGGCGCCCGTCTGGGCGGCGCCAAAGGCGACTTGGTCGCCGGCGCGCAGCGCGCGGGTGGAGATCCACGAGATGAAAGGGGTCTTCTCCTCAGGTCGATCTGCGGAAAGTCTGTGTCAACAGTCAACGATTCAGTTTTGAACACGACATGCTTGATGCATGGATTGAGGAATGTTCAGCAAGGTCCGAGGTGCCTCCGCGAATTGGAAGGTGCAGCCCTCGCAGGCCGGCTCGCAAGGCCCAGCTTCTGAAAGCCTCCCAGGTATAGAGAGGAACAACCTAATAGCGATGGCCTCCAACCACAGAGCATCCTTGCTGATGCCCTTTGTTCCTAGTAGCTTCTTGCTCCTAGTAGTAAGGCCAGGAGCCCCTAGTAGCGTCCTTGCTCCTAATAGCGATGGCCTCTAACAAATGTCTGCAGTGCCACCGTTTGGAGTCACCCTGCTCCACTGAATTCTTAATCCTCCCCGCACAACTGATGCGGGTAAGTGTTGGTGGGTTACGCTTTGGACTTGACAGGCTGAAGTTTCGGTTGACTTCTTCCCATCGAGACGTTCTGACAACTAGGAACAAGAAGCTACTAGGAACACGTGCATCGCTAGTAGTAACAAGTGCCTTACTAGTAGTAACAAGAAGCTAGTAAAAACACTGATTAAGTAATTCTTAATTCTAATAGCTTCTTGTTACTACTAGTAAGGCACTTGTTACTACTAGCGATGCACTTGTTACTAATGGCTTCTTGTTACTACTAGGAACAATGTTCACAATTTCACCTCCTTCAGGGCTGGAGCTTCAGGAAGCCCCGTTGAACAGTGCACCACACTGCTCGGTCACTGCACCTGAGACATGCCAGGTAGGGCGCAGCGCTTTCCGCCGGCCCCGTCTCGCACAACAGCCTCTCTGCCGAGGCCTCTGGGCATCTCACGAACAGCATCTGGGAGAGCTTGAACGTTGTCAAGCCATCGAAAAGGGAAGCAGGGATAAAGAAACAAAAGGAAGAAAAGGAAAGCATGTGGATGGAAACAGTTTTGCTGCTCTGTGGAGGCTCAGACTTAAACTACACCGCATCTGTTTATTCAACCTACTAGGGGCTCCTGGCCTTACTACTAGGAGCAAGGACGCTACTAGCTGGATAACCGTTCTTGATAAATATGCCTTTTGCATCACCTGTGCACCAAACGATGTGCTGATACTGTGTCAAGACAGTGTTCAGCCGGGTCCTCGATGATCGTGCATTGAGAGTTTCCAAAATGCACCTCAGCAAGGCAATCCAAACGTCAGCCCAACTACTAGTAGCGTCCTTGCTCCTAGTAGCGATGCCCTTTGTTACTAGTAGCGTCCTTGTTACCATGTATCTTCACCGAACTGCAACTTCACATCACCTACCATTGCAAACCTTACATGACTGACATTTGCACGCATTGGGCCAAGTTGCGGTCTGAGGACCTGGGTGAGACGGAAATGGATGTTTCGCTCAGATTTGCAAGCGGCGACCATAGCAAGGCCCTTGTTACTAGTAGTTTCTGGTTCCGTTCGTAGTAAGGCCAGGAGCCCCTAGTAGCGAACATTGCTCCTAGTAGCGATGCCCTTTGCTCCTAGTAGCTTCTTGTGAAGAACCTTTTTCGCAATCATATTCAAGTCGCTAAGTTCTAGCAACCAAATGCTTTTTCTATCGGTCTATCCACCCTCCACATGATGAGCAAAGAAAACAACATGAACATACGTGAACAATGGTGCTATAATATGTTAATTGCCCCTTGCCACAACAGCCTCAGGGAATCAACTAGTTAGTTACTCCTTACCAATTCCATCTAATTCCAATGACATGAATAGTAGAAACATCTTCATCTTGAAACAAGAAGCTACTAGGGGCTCCTGGCATCGCTACTAGGAGCAAGGACGCTACTAGGGGCTCCTGGCCTTTCTACTAGGAACAAGAAGCTACTAGTAACAAGAGCTAGAAACTTCAAGAAAACAACTTTCCAAATTTCTGCGGACGAGGTACCGATGGGCTCCGGGCCGGCCGGGTATCGGAAGCCGCTGCCCAGCAGGACGACAAAGCTGCCGCCGGCGACGCTGCCAGATTTCGGGTGCACCCAGGAGACCTGGAGAAACGGAACTCATCATCCCTCTAACCGAATTAACTTGAATAGATTTATTAAGTAATTCCGATGGCCTCCAACCTAATGGGAATGGCCTCCAGCCTACTAGCCATTGCCTCCAACCTAGTATTTTTAAACATCCTTCTCAACGAGCTTCGTCTGTGGAGCAACACAGAAGGGCATTGTCTTTTCTGTTCGATAAAAGCAAAGCGGGAGAAGCTGAAGGCCTACAGATTCTAATTGCTCATTACTGAAAGGTCCCCTAGAAAAAATAGTTAACACGAAAACCGAACAGGCTTGGTTCCGGATGTGTGGATCTCCATGGTGGCCTCCGCAGCTCTGGTAAGCGCAAGCCAAGTGCAGAAGCACAGCAGGCACCCGGGGATCCTGTCAGAAAAAAGAGCAAATAATGAGATATCAGCTTCTGAAAGCGAGCTTTTGGGAGATGTGACGAGTGTGAGTCTTTCATGACTATTCTTAGCCTGCGCCTGCTCAATTAAGTAGGCGCCTACTTAATTAAGTAAGGGAGTAAGCTACTGGTTTCTTAAGCTACTACATAGGGACGCAGGATAGCTCACGCTAATGATTTGGTTCCTAAATTTGTTGGGGAAACTTGCTTCTTTGATCCAGCTTCAGGCCGACAAGCATATGCCATGGCAGTTGCAGGATCATACGAGTATCATCTGAAATTGCAGGATTGAGTTTCTGTCAAGCGAAGCTTCGAAGCTTTAAGAGAAGGACTTTGTTCGCAAGTGACGTCCCTTTCCACCGAAATGGACTCAAGCGAGACCACGGCAAGTGGCCTCTTCTGCATCCCATCCGCAGTTTCGAAGTGGGTGCAATGACCCGACCGACCACCGTCACGTCTGCGTGTTTGATCGTTCCTTGCATCATTTCGGTTTGACTAATCTGTTTGAAATCACCTTGGCTTTGGTCGTCTGTTTGAAAGAACACGCTTGAGTCACCTTGGCTTGGAAACGTAAAAAGATTCAGTGTGCTCTTGAGCCAGGCAAGATCCAGCCAGCAAGAACACAAGACGTAAGTATGCACCTGCGGCATGAATAGTAATCAATTGCATCTCAGAGAAAAGCTTGCAACAAAGGAGTTGGTGTCTGCAAGAGGCTGATGCAAAACTGAAAGACTGCCAGGATTCATCACCTCTGACGGAAAACATTCGAAAAGAACTCAACCAATGCGCTTGCATCTGTTGAGACAAATCATTCGTGGCAACGAGGGAAGACCTTGGCGAAAGGATGCCATTCGGGTGGGGACACCGCCAACTGGATGTGGAGCAACTCTGGGGTGACACTGTGTGAAATCCTTCTGAAACGGAAGAACTAATGTCCATCAGGTCTTAAATATCTTACAAATGAGCGTTGCTGGAGTGGCCAGTCAACTCGGCGACCTTTCTCTCACTAACTAAGTCCCTCACAGCGCCATCCGTAGGCTCTCAGACAAGGGGACTGACACGTGACAGGCTGGGAATGGTGGAAAGCCAAGGCTAAGACCTGGGAGATCAGGGCGAAAAGATCGCGTGGACCGTATCGAGGCATTCTGCAAACAGACATATTCTTCGTTTGTGGACGTTCGGATTACTGAATGGCGAGATTTAGTGAAAGTCTTCTTGCGAAAGAAAGTGTTTGTGTTAAAATGCGAGCGGTAGCGAAAGCAAAGAAAGCACACGGCAAAGATTGAGTCGGAGCAGTAGACCCTTACTATCTACAGATTCCATAGAACTTGAAGAAAGTAAATAGTAACGGGTGTGGACACCTCCACAAAAAAACAATTGCTGGGATCCTTGGCATCACTGCCTTGCTAAGTGCTATACCCAGATGGTAAGAGTGGAGAAAGAGGCTGCCGCACCACGGCTCCGCACCAGTTCCATAGGTGGTATCACCTTGCCATCGCATCTATCTGATCATGGTCAGGTTGATGACATGTTTGCATCTTTGACTGCCCAGATTGCAACAGGTCAAGGCAAACTAGGCAAATGGCCAACCAGTGGATGTCCCTCATAGCGAAGGTGAGCGCGAATCTGGTGCCGCCTGCGATAAACCAGTCACCAAATACGCGGACCCCTCAAAAGAACGAAATGGAGTGGTTTGAAGGTTACAAGTTCATGACCATGGCTGCCATGGCTGGGTAATGTTGAGTGGCACAACTCTTGCCACATGCTTCAGCTCTTGGACTTATCACCCCGCTTACGGGCCCCTAACGGACCAGGAATATAAACGAATTGAATGCTGTAAATTGATCATATAACATCATATTAACCAACATTAGAGTTGTTCACCATTTGCTCAAGATTAAGCCATGGCCTCCAACCTACTAGCGATAGCCTCCAACCTAATAGGAATTGCCTCCAGCCTAGAAGTGATTAAGCCTATCGTAACAAAACGCCCCCCGGAAAAGGCCTTCCAGTATGTAAACGCACTTGCACCAGGCTCACGGGAGCGTTGCTGGGATCCAAGAAGTGGCCCACCACCAAGACCTGGCCGAGTTGACTAAGTCCTAAGCCACCTGCCGAGTTAGGAAGAACACTCCAAACAAGGACGCTACTAGGGTCTCCTGGCCTTACTACTAGGAGCAAGGACGCTACTAGGGTTCCTAGTAGCGATGCCAGGAGCCCCGTTCGTAGCGTCCGATCGCTCCTGGTAGTAAGGCCAGGAGACCCTAGTAGCGTCCTTGTTCCAAAGAACAAACAAAATACCAATTTGTATGTTCTTTTTGTTCTTATGTTATGTGTCTTTTTAGTTGAGGAAGTTACCTGCGAATAGAAAAACACTCCAAAGCGGGCGACGCTCCAACATCATTGCCGTCATGACCACTTGCCACATACTGCAATGCATTTAATCAGTCATGTTTGCGTCTATGTAGTTATGTTTCCTGATCGGTTCTTTCTTTAAACCTTGAGACAAAATTCCTTTCTTAGGACTTCGTATCAAAGACCTTTCCTCAATTTACCTCCTCGTTGCTGGAGAGAAGCATGTCGCAGGACAAGCAATAATCATGAAGGTCCTCACAAGAGTTCTGCACACACAGGCCTGCGTCTTCGCATCTCGCATACCATGTGCCCCCCTCACCTTGCGGTACTCCAGACACGGTCAAAGAAACCACAACACCCCGTCAAAATATTGTTTTTTACATCGCTACTAGGGTGGAGGCCATCGCTCTTAAAGGTTCCCTCGCCAATTATGGTTTTTAAGACGCTGTTTCTGGCAGTTTCTGGGTCGCACTCAACCGCACAACGTGGCTGAATCCGAAACTGTGGTGCCGTTATCTAAAATCGACCATCACACCCGCCTTGCCGAGACATGGACTGGTACTCGCCGTACAGCAACGGGGAGTTCAGCATGTCCACCTCAAAGCATCGCAATAAAGATCTCAAACAAGACAGGTTTCAAGCAATGCAAAGCAACAAATCCCTAAAACCGTTCAAGGTCTCTGTAGTCACTGTGACTGCATGGATATAATGATTCCCATTGCTTGGGCCTGGCTTGACAACCACCCTTTGCAAACGCAAACATACTCCTGCAAGAGTGATGCTGCACTGTGCAAGGTGGTGCAAGGTGCTAAGGCCCATTGAATTCTTCCACAGCCTTGTCATGCGCCTCTGTTTAAGATGTCCACTCATCAGACTGAAAAATCAGTAGCTAGAAGCTACTAGTAACAAGTGCATCGCTACTAGTAGCTAGAAGCTACTAGTAAGCGGCGGGCCCCAAAAAAGTTTTTGTTACTACTAGTAAGGCACTTGTTACTAGTAGCGATGCACTTGTTACTAGTAGCTTCTTGTTACTGCTAGTAAGGCACTTGTTGCTAGTAGCGATGCACTTGTTACTAGTAGCTTCTTGTTACTACTAGTAAGGCACTTGTTACTAGTAGCGATGC